TGAAAAACACTAGCAAGAAATATAGAAAAATATTACTCCTTAAATGAGAATTCAGAGAACCTGTGAGTAGCGATTCAGACTTTCCAAATCTGTAATTTTCCCTTCGATGGTTATGCCTTTTGCAATTTCAAAAACCTAGAACATGTATTTGCATAAAAAAAAATAAAAAATAAAAAATAAAAAGAAGAAGAAGAAGAAGAAGAAGCTACTAAAACATCAAAAAATCAAAACTAACACATACATATATAGAGGGACGAACCTTGAGTTACTTCTCCAAACCTTCAATTTCTCTGTTGTTTGTAGGAATATTGAAAAGAACCGTCACTCCTAACTACTTCAGTTAGGCGATCAGAAGATATATGAAAATCTTGGTGTCAAACTTCATGCTTTTTAGTGCTTTATTACTACTATATAAATTATATGATTGTTTCGCGTAATGGACTAATTAAATTTCATTAATTAGCTTTAATTTGAACTTGAAATTTTGGTAATTTAGTTAGGTAAAGTTACAAGCAAGACCTATTGACCCCATCTCTAGATTTAGATCACTGACTTTGTGCAACTCTGCATTTATCAGAGCCTAGGGTTCTGGTCATTGTCCCATCATGGCATATATGGGAACTCTAATTTGGTGAGTGCATAAATTTGAAAGTTCAATTAACATTTGCACCTTTGTTGAAGCTTCGTATTCACTACTATACCCTTGGACAATGGTAACTCGACTAACTACCTTAATTAACTTTTGAAATCATAACCAAAAGCTAAAATATAACACACAGGCTTCATTTTGCACAAAAATTGTCAACCCAAGTCCTATTTACCTAACAAAGATAGCTGCTGCAACTGCCGTTTCTGTTTTGGCTAATGGTAATATATCTTTCTTTTCATGTTTTCCTAAAAACCTGGTAATCATTAAGCAATGATAAATGTGACTCCTTTTACTCTATATCTGCATCCCCAATCTCTAACACACACCAAGGATTCTAATTTAAAATTCAAGCAGGTGATCAAGAATAATATACATGTACTTAAAACTACAATCGGTATCCCCGTGGTTCATAGCCATGGATACCGAGCATCAAGTTCTCTTAGCTGTCAAACTCCTCAGGCTTTAGAAATAACAACTCATTCACAAAATTGTATCAACTACTATAGAATAATCACAATCCAGAGTTCCTAAAACAATGTGAGCTACTCATGCTAGTATGTCAATCACAAGGTATGGATGGTAAAAAGGTTCCTCTTCTGACAAAGTAGTAGCTATCGGAGACTGGGAGGTACAACCAAGGTGCAAGCATCTGCCTTTAAGAACTAAACTGCTAGTGGGACTACAAAAATCTTCCTTTTCCTTATCATGGAAAAGATGTTGATGGTCACATATGCTAATTTATTCAACCTTTGACGTCAAAGGAAGGAAGGTAGATGGGTAATGGTAGAGAAGTTTTTAAGAAGAGATCAGAGTATAAATCATATATGCAACTGAAATGTATGAGGACCTTTATTGGCAAACTCGTGTGATCTAATATGCTGGTTTTAACTTTTTTCTTAACAACATACAAGGGGGTTCTGAAGGACGCAGTGTATGTATTGCTATTTGATTACTTATTAAGTAGACTGGATAATATTTCCTTCTCAAGGATGGTCTCTCTTAAAAAGAAAGCTATAAAAGCTTGATTTTGAGTTTAACAAATACATTACTGTTTTTTTTTTTCCAGGCAAATTTATTCAAGTTGGCATTGGTCTAACTTCTGCACCACTTCATGTAATTCTGCTATATGGGTGGAACATTATAGTTAGTCAAACATTTTATAGCTACTCTTTCTTATCTCTATAAATTCTTCAACTAAAGGCAAACATCATTATGTTCCACTTAGAAATTCAGAATCATTTATTAACAAAATTAACTACCAATTTTATAAATTAATCTCTTTCTAAAACTTGTCATTGTACGACTCTCAAAGGGTAGATGAATGAATAAGAGTCTCTAGGTCACACTTCAGAGGTCTTGAGTTCGACTCCAAGAGGCATCAAACCTTTCTCTTGGGTTTACCCAATACCCTTCACTAGGGTTGGTTGTGGGAATCCAAGGATATCAATCCCAAACCCCTGTTAAAAAAAGTAAAAATAAATAAAAATCATTTGTCATCATGAGTGGCCAAAATTTCCAAATTTAATTGCAAATAAGAACTTTGATTGCATTTTATGTCTCAAGAAAAAGGATCATGCATTAGGGACGTGTTCCCCTTTTGAGCGCTTTTCTAATCAACTTTTACTTATCAAAAAAAATAAAAAAGAGATGATGATGATGCATTAGTAGCTGACAACTAGACCCATAAATATGAATAAGAATTAGGAAAGTTTCCAATTAAATTCAAAAGTGTTCCGCAAGAAAGTATAGCCTAGATCAAATAGGATAGCCACACAATATTCATGTAGCCAAATCAAAATGATGGGGAAAAAGCTTTGTTATAAAGTACTAAGAAGTGAGATGAGATTTTGTGCGAGAAAAGTGAAACAAACATTTGTTTCTCAAAGTCGCATGCTAAAAATGGTCATACATCTACTTATGGAACCAAATATAGCACTGTTTTAAGGGTTGCAGTAACTACAATAAGGGTTCTCAATTAAAAAAAAAAAAAAGTCCAGTCATTATCCATTTGTAGTATCATAAATTTGATCTCCAAATTGGTAACTGTACACATCATATAGGTTTGGCCTCCTTGCCTTCAAAACACAAGTCCTAACAAACAAGAAACCCTTAATACTTCCATAGGCACCTCTAATACTTCTATAATCCACATTTTACTCCACACGTCTCAGTGTTATCCACTCAATCAAAATCAAACACAAATTCATACTATAAAATTCCCCATATTAAAAGGGTCATTCATGCCATCCTCAAACTTCAATCCAAGTCTAACTTCTAACCCACAAATCAAATTATGTATGCATATCAAAACACAGATATTTGAAGGAAAAAAAAAGGACATTTTCTTGAACCAAATAAACACATACATATGAGGGCATATATAAACATATAGGTAAAGATACATACAATGAAAGCAAGAATACCTTGAGTGAGAAATTGAGAGCAACAGAGGGGTAGTAGCAAATAACACTACTACCGTTGCCTCTCCATAGAAAGAGAATGCCTTCTTCTTTGACAATTCAAACGATACAATCAAACACAAACACACTCCTGGTTGGAAGAGCTCTGAAAATTTGGAAAGCAAGAGGAGGAAACAAAATAAAAAGAAAATAGCAGGTGATTGAAATTTCAAATGATCAGGATTGGTTGGCAATTGTAAATACATAAAATATCTATCAATACATATTTTTTTATATGGTATATATTTTCAGTTACCGTATTTACCATTTGTATTTTTACCCATCGTAACTTGCGAACCGGCTGGAAACAGGTCACTGTTCTACTGGAGATGATTTTTGTCCCTCTCGATTCATCATAAACAAACCCTATGCTCTCTCTTTCTAAACAAACACAAAGATCTGAAGGCTCCATTAGAAAATACTAATAGAATGGAGTGAATACTTTATATCCAAACCATGCAATTCATAGACAGTCTTTATTTTGGATGGAGTCCCAAAACAAGTTACACTGAGAAGCAAAATTAATGTCATCGATTCTCCTTGTACCAAAAACACCCTCACTCCTAGGGAACACAGACCAAATGGAGATGGTCTTTACTCTGACCAGAACCCCAAAGGAGCTGCTTGAGCTTCTTATTGAAGTCCTTTATGGCTTCTGGAAACTGAAAACAGACTAGAATTAAACAAAATGAAAAAACAGACTAGAAATGAGCTCCATCCTACCAGCCATGGATGCAGATCAAACCATTATATGCTGATAACTTTGCTGCCACCTTATTCATCAAAGAAGAACAATGACAGCTCTTTGAGTATCTTTCACTCAAAGGCACCCCTAAGTACCGAACTGGAAGCTTGCTTTTTCTAAACTGCAGAGCCCTTAGAATTCCTCTCTTCCTTCTAACTGCTTTAGAAAAGAACATTAAGTTCTTCTCCCTGCTAACCACAAGACTGGTAGACATCTATGGTCGAATATTAGACTCTCTGAGAGACCCCTGTTTAAATCAGATAATCAATCTTATCAAAAAGTTCTTGATCATTTGGACAGCACAGAATAAGTATAATAATGGTAGCAGCAGAAATGAACAATGCAACATAACAGATGAAACTATATACAGAAAACAACGTCAGAAGACTCTGAACACATCCATGTTGAGAAAACCATGACCATCCCTCTTCCAACTGTCCCCCAATCTTGCCAAAATAATGAAAATTTAGTTAATAAATAAGACAACAGAACATAATCATCAAAACTCAAATAAAAAGGCTAACTTCAATATATGTATATATCTGTCTATCTATATATATATATATATCTACAAAAGAAAGAAAAATATCCAACATATGCTACTGAGAAACACGTACGGAAGCAGATCCAGAGTAAACTAGCATTGACAACAAAATCTTTCTACAGTAAAATAAAAAATAAAAATAAATAAATAAGAGTTTTGTGCTAGCTTATGAGGATCAAGATAATCAATTGTAATCTTCATTGATCAGCACTCCAAGTTAACATATGGATCAAACAGTCAATGTGAACACAGGGTTGAGCCTCTCCACCGGATTCAATGAAATGCAGATCCTCCAAGTACCTAGAGTTCTTCAAACACCTCTGCAATGGCTTTAGCAATATGAACATGTGCTTTAACAGTGATCAAATGATCTTCAGCCAAAAAAAAAAATTGGTTTCCTTTCATACCCACCCAACGAACTTAAAATGCAACACAAACTAGAATGGATGCTATGCTCAAATAGACTGGTTCAACAACACCAGTTTCTGTTCACCGTTCTCCTCAAAAAGGATTCACCCATAAAGAAAAATATAAAAGGCAATGAACACAAATTCATACATGAAATCAAAGCAAAGCATAATTAGAATTGAATGAAAAAGATCGTAAACAAAATTATAAATTAGAATTGACTCTTTAATGTGACAGAATAAAATTTACTAAAGAGAAACAGTGCGTCTGTAAAGGATTTCATCATCACTCTCATCTTCCTCATCAGATACAATCTCACTTCCAGGCAACTCTAACTTCCCACCCATACAAAATGACGGTCCTGCACTCTCTGTTTCAATATAATCACCCTGAACTCTCTCTTCAAATCTCTGGTCACTACAATTGAGGAACCAAGCCAAAGAACACCTAATCCCCTTGCTTTGTAATATCTGATACCTGTGTTTGATCCTTGATTCCAAGCTATAAGTAAAGTATTCTGGAAACTCCATAAGCTCTTTAACGTCCCTCCCCATCTCACTCTTGAAAAAGTAATAACTGTTCTTCATGAGCCCAATTTGCAGTGCAACTAACTGGGGGCATTTCACAACCATCTTCGCTACATCCCCAGCTGGTATACCCCGTCCAAGAAGGAACTCAATGGGTTTCATAATCACATGTTGATTAAGGCTAACTATTTGTGGCATCCTCTCGATGACTTGAGCAAACCCTTCAGGATCAATCTTGAGCTTTAGATTGAAGAAATATTGCTGCGATGACAATTTAGCTTTCAAAGGAAGTCCGAGAATTTGTGGATACTGTGCAATAACCAAAGCAAGTGCTTCACTTCGAACCCCAAAACTAATCAAACAATCCACATTTGGTTTCACTGTCTCTTCAAGGTCATACCCAAGTATATATGCCCGCTTCTCAAACATCCTTGCCAACACCTTCTTTGGCAAACCCAGAGAAACCAAGTAATCCACAAGTGGTTTGATCATAGTCCCAACTCTCATTCCCAAGAAGTACGGATACTGTGTGACCATAGGACCAATATCTCTTGGATTAACTCCGATGCTAACAAGATATGCTACCGATGTGCTCATTGTTCCTTCAAGCTTAAACCCTAATAACTCGGGGTATTTCATCAACACATACCCCATATCCTGTTTTTCAACATCTAGCCCACGAAGAAACTTAACCACCGGAACAAGCTCCACAACGACACTGGCGTGAAGGACTTGCGGGTAATTCTTAACAAACTCTCCAAGCTTCGACCTTTGGATTCCAATCTTTTCCAAGTAACCCAATACAGGAATCATATTTTTACGCACACTACAACCAAGCATTAACGGGTACTCGTTGATATCATCGATTGTTAGCCCTATTTTCTGTAAAAACTCGACGCGCTCTCGCATTACTTCAACATTGGATGGCAATTCCAGTTGCTCTAATTCGTCAGGGACAATGCCTAAACTCTTCAAGTAATCACAGATAATTACACGCGAAACGAGTTTCTCTTTGCGCCCTTGGACCACCCCCCATGTCACCGACGGCATCTCATATTCGGGAAATTTTTGGGATTGAGTCGAAAAGGGACGGAAATTTGAATGGGAAAAACACATTATTTCTTGTGTGGCCATCATTTTCTCTACTGTTATAATATGCTCCACCTGAACGGGAAATGTCAAAAGAACATAAATACCACAACACAAGCTGTCAGAGAAATACACTTAAGCATCAAATAAGGGTTCGAACAGTAAAATTCGACTTTACCTGAATGCGAGTTGTGGCTTCTTGACCCGTCTCAAGTAGCTTGGCATTGTCTCGCGGAATCGTCAATTTTAGTAGGGTTTTACTGTAGATGACATATATCACATATACATTCATGTTAGAACCCAAGTTCCAAACCAAGGAGTTGCATATGAAACTATAATCGGGTCTATTGTGTATGTATATGTAAAACAAAAATGCAGTACATATTTGAAACTGCATTTATACATAATTTAGACATTTCCTGTGGCAACAGAGAACCATAATATATGTACAAAAAAATGTGTTTCAGGGGTGGGTGCGTATAAAATCCATTGTGATTACATCGAGCAAAAATTCAGCATTGTAATCAATTGCAGGGAACAAAAAGTGGGAATAAAAATAAATTCGTGAATTGGTTGTTGGGAAAACTGCAGAAAAACTGGAGAAAAAGAAAATTTGAATTTTTCATTCCCAGTGTTCTATGTTAGTTTGGTTCCTCACAAGGTAATCACAAGCCTAAAACAAAGTAAATACATTAAGAAATACCCAGAACTAAGACGGGGAATTTTCATTTCTCCCTCCAAAAACTATGTTTAGATTTTAGATTCCACACTTTCTCAGCAACCAAACAGATATATATATAAAGGGGGAAAGTGAAAATTCGGTAGCTGGGCAAAAACAAAAGAAATAGAGGAGGACAAATATGAAGAAATCATACCATCTGGCCTCTTTGAAGCCCTTTCTGCATAAGGAATGGAGTATCAGCATGACTAAACCACTCCAAAAACTCGTCTCAAATCGGAAATTCGCAAACCTTAATAATAGAATAAGTAATTCAAATAACACGATCGTTGTGGGTTACAAAAGATGAAGTACGCCGCTTCATTGGCAAGAAGTTCCAGAACTTTGTTGCAGGGCCGGCCCTGAGATTCCAAATATTTTGAGAGGCCCTAGGCGAACTTTCAAATGTGAGTTCACACGCGCAAAAAAAAGAAAAAATTATAAGAGTGCGAAATTTTCACACCATGTTTTCAAATTCTATGGCTAACATAATTGTGCGCCTATGTATTGTGCATAAGACAACTAGCTAATAACTATAAATTTATCACCACCAACAAATAATTGTGCGCCTGTATAGTGTGCACAAGACAACTAACTAATAACTATAAATCTATCACTACCAATAAATAATTGTGCGCCTCTGCAATGTGCTTAAGACAACTAACTAATAACTATAAATTTTTATCACAACCAATAAATAATTGTGGGTCTATACAGTTTGCATAAGACAACTAATTAATAACTATAAATCTATCATCACCAATAAATAATTGTGCGCATGTGCAGTGTGACAGCTAACAAATAACAATAAATCTATCAATTAAAGAGAGAAATTTTCACAGGCACAAAATAAAAAATGAAGATAACAGTTTACTAGAGAACAGAAAACTGCAGCTTCTTTTACATTCATTGTTTATACAGCTACTAAAATTTGATTATTACAGACGACAAAAATATGTGGAGATGAGGTGACCATATTTTTTATAGGAGGCTGAACTTGTAGTACTGGATAAGTAGTGGGACTTTTAGGTTATATGTGGCATCCACTATCATATATAGTTTTGTCTTTCACTCTTTGTATTAACTACACTACACTTTGTGTTTGTTTTTTTTTTGGGAGCCAATTACCCCTTTCTTGATTTCAGGATGAGGAATCAACTTTAGTAGCAGTGATTGGTTGATCATTGCTACACAAGACCTGTGCAAATTAATAGAAAAACCATTAACTTTTGTTTTGTTAAAGCCTGCTCTGGATTTCCATGTGTTTGTACATTCTGATGGAAAGTGCTTTGACAGTATTATTAACTGAAATTCCAGCTGAGCCAACTTCAAATAACATCAATAATGGTGGTATGTATCTTCATATAAAAATAAATATAAAAAAACCCTTAATTTGGCACTTTTAAGTATGAGCCTTATTTTTATAGATCGAAAAAGTTAATTATTACCTCAAAGGCTCAACCCACTAGAAGGGATCCTTAATTTTCGTAGGATTGAATGTGAAAATGCAAAAAATTATGAGGAAAAGGGGTATGGTTGCTGCTGTTGTGAGATTGGAGTGGAATTAGGGAGAGGAAAAAAAGAAGTACCTGCCATAGATTATGGACTCGATCGCCATGAAAGACACATGTAGAAAGGCACACATTTATTAAAATACTAAGAGAACCATAATATATTCATTCAGATTTTGATAGCCATCACACACAGTGGCACACACACACAAAAAACCCCTTGTTTGGAAGCTACTTTTCACTATTGGAACAAAAGTAAAAGCCCGAATCAAACGAACCAAAGTTAGTAAAAATCAAATGATGAGATGAACGAAAGAAAGAAACATATATAAAAGATCGATTCATGCACAAGGAGAGAGAAGAGAGAGAGAAAGGATGAACATACCTTCTCACCTGAGGCGATAGCGGAGGCTGCGCCCTGCGGAGTGTGGAAGCAACTAACTTGAATTTTTTTTTTTTTTTTTTTTTTCATCCCCTATGGGCCTCAAAATTTGACGGTCTCTAAAATTTGAGGCCCAAGGCGACCAAGACTTGTCCTAACTTCTTCTTCTTCTTTTTTCCCATCCTCTATGGGCCTCAATATTTGAGGCCCAAGATGACCGCCTTGGTCGCCTTGGACCAGGGCCGGCCCTGCATGTGTTATATCCCTGACCTCTTGCTTTCTATTTGATTTCTTGTTATCAACTCATGGTTTGCTCTATATTCTTTCTTTACTATATATATATATATAAAGTTTTTTGGATCATAACACGAGACCAGATTAAGGGATCAAATGGTTTAACCATCAGAGTTAATAGAAGTCCAAATTAGTAGTGAATAATTTTAACTCATGGTTTGCTCTATATTTCATTCATATCTGTATAATAATTATTATTTATTTTTGGATATATCTTTTTAAATCCTAAAATGAAAAACCTTCATCAAACCATCAAGAGACTGGATTAAGGGATTAATTGCTAAAGGAGTTAGATTGGACTCATTCCAATTATATATTAAGGGATTTATTGTCACCACGTTTTCGAGTTGGGATTGGAACCTCTGTTAATTATCTGATGTGTTGCCCACCAAACTCTGAATATCTTCCGCCTGGATTGACCTAGCAGCCAAGCCTTGGGTTTTTACAAACATAAGATTAACATTTGTGAAATATGAAATACGTTATATTTATTGAGTGGACTAATAATATATCTTCTTCTTCTCGGTTTCTTAAACCATGGCATGCTAGATTTGGGCATGCTGATTATTCTTCCTTGCAAAAATAAGTAAGGTTAAATTTTTAAAAATAATAATAACTAGGGAATTATAGATGTGAAGTTTGCGTTACTCTATATAGTTTGCAATCTTCGCTTGTAGATCTATTAACAAGCAAAGATTGTTACGTTAATGCACCAAGAGAGAATTTCAAATCACAACAAATGCTACTTGTTTTACTTGTCTGTATAAAAAGACAACTTTGTTGGGACTTAAAAAAATAATAATAACTTTGTTGGGGTCCATCAATGTTATAACAGAGGTAACGTCAAGGTTATGAAAAACTCTTAGGTTATGTTTGGTAGAATGGGTTCGAAGGGAGAGAATAACATTAGTTATAAGGGAAAGGGAAGGGAAGAATAATTTTAGTCTCCTATCTTGTTTGGTTAATTATTGAATGGAAAAGAAAGGAAATGATAATAATCATGGTTGGGGAAAGAAAGGGAAGGATAGGAAGGAAAATTATTTTAATAAATTTACTATTATGCCCTTTTATATTTTAAAATATAAATTTATTAATTATATAGATATATATATATTTGTCTCCTTTTATATTTTAAAATATAAATTTATTTATATATATATATATATATATATATATATATATATATATATTTGTCTCCTATATAAAGGCCCATGGATCGGCCACCAGAAAATGAAAAAAAAAATTAGGGCAAATCATTTCAGCCTCCATCTCTATTCTCATTCTCAACTTTGAACTTGCCCTCTCTCTCTCTCTCTGTGTGCAACTGCAATCTACTACAAGAATCAGAAGTTTAAAACCCATATATTTTAGTTTATATATTTGTCTGCAAGAATCAAAACTTCAAAACCCATATCGACATCATTTCAGATTGTTCAAAAAATCAAAACCCAATTTCAGATTGTTCAAAAAATCAAAATCCATATTGATCTTTCAGTTTCCATCACCCGCTATTCCAATTCGGGTTCGCCGTTCGCAAGCTTCAGCCGCTGGCCCTCTTTCTCTCAACTCTCAAGCTTGCCCCCCTCTCTCTCTGCAACTGCTAAATCAACTAATCAAGGTCTATAATTCTTGTTTTGCAAACTAAATTCACATGTAATCAAGAGCAAAATTGGTATCTGAAATCACACACCAAGCCTCTCCTTCCCTTTCCCTTCATTTCCTCCCATTTTCGGGAGGTTAAGAAATTTACTGTTGAAGGCTTGTGTTAACCCTCCAAACCCTTCCCTTTCCTTCCATTTCCTTTCAACAATTTTTGCCAAACACAAATTTTTAATCCCCCGCCATCACCTTCCCTTCCCTTTCCTCCCTTTGCCATTACACCAAACTGACCCTTATCTTTTGTGATTATCTCATAATGTGATTGTTAGAGAGGATTGTTTTTATCTTATTTTGAAAAGGTTATAACTCTTGTTTGAAAAGATTACTTCTATTGTATTTAAAAGGACACTTCGTTTGGAGAACAGTAGATTTCATATTTTCCTTTTGAGTGATTGGGTACAAAAGGGTTGAAGTTGTTGAGTGAAATCTCTACATTTAATCTCTTATTTTGTACAGTTTACAATCTTAAGTGAAAATCCCACTTTTGGGTGAACCGCATATATCTCTTGTGTTTTGTTTCCGAAAGTGATTTGTTTCTGTGAATGGTTGGTTTATTTGTTATGAGTAATTGTTTATTTCCCAACAATTGGTATCAGAGCCATAGTATTACACACAAGCTATTTGATAAAAATTTCTTGATATAGATTTTTTGGTCACGACATTGGTGTTGTTTATCTTAGGCACTTGTGACAATAAGAATGGCTAGAGGAAAGGGCAAGCAGTACCATAGATGATGTGAATGGATCGATCACATCAGAAAGGACTTTTCATGTGGAAAGGGAAAGGAAGATGGCGGCAAGAATGATGCGTCTATCACAAGTGCTTCAGACGAAGACTTTAGAGATGTTATCATAATTTTCAAAGGTAACACTCTTAGTCGGCAAAACTGGATATTAGATTCGAGTGCTACTAACCATATTTGCTCCGATAAAGAATATTATGATTCGTTTCAAGGACTTGAGAATAGTTCTTTGACTATGCCCAATGGAGATAAGTGTAATACGAATGGTGTGAGAATAGTAAAAAGTAAAATGTTTGATGGAGTGGAAAGCACTTGGGGGATGTTGCCGACGTAACAAAGTTACAGTGTAATTTGATATCCTTGAGCCGGTTGGATTTCAGAGACTGCAAGTGTTCCATTGCAGGGGGAGCCATGAAAATTACGAAGGGCTACATAATGTTGATACGAGGAGAAAAAAATGGTGGTTTATATCATATGGTGAGGGGTACTAATGGTACACGGACTTCGATTGCTAATTGGAAACAGGTACGTGAAAGCATTATCTTGCGACGGCAGGTCTCTTTGAAACAGAGGCGACGTTTTTCCATACAAATGAATGATGATGAGTTGGAAATTCCTACTTATGAAGGGGTCTCATCAAGGTCTCCTTTCAAAGTCACTTGATCATATTGACTTGGTTTAGCTACACGTATGCGTTGCTATGGAATCATGGAGGTGTTTGAACTTGGTTCGAGTTATGTGTATAGTATAGAATAATGGCAACAAGTAAAGGATAGTGGCATCAGCCTTTCAAAATGTATAAAATGCATGGGAAAGAGGATTCTAAAGCTCAAGCCTTGATTTAGCACGTGTTAGGTGAAGTGGGATCCACTTACAATCTTGCATAATTTGAGGGATTGGGTCAAATTACATAATTTTGGTAAATTGCATCAATTATAGTGAAATTGCATTATTGTGGTAACTTGCATCAATTAAGTTATTTGTTACTTTTATTATGCTAGAGTCAACTTTTGATTACCGCAATTGTAAGGTAATCCAAGGGTCATCAGTTGTTATGAAAAAGGATATTATGTAACTCTGACTACTCAGTGAATGAATGAACAGAAAATATCTTTTGAGATTTCTTTGTGATTGATTCACAAATTTTGAAGGTTTGAGGCATTCCCTATGTGTAATGCCTTCCCTATATTTAATGCATAGACCTCGGTGTGATTCCAATAGGTTTTTGTTGTTTTTAATCCTTTCTCTCTACTAAAAGGCTTGAACTGTGACGACCAAAGTTTTACAAAACCCAGTGCGTCAGCGAGTGACCTGAAACTAACCGGATAACAGATCCCAAATGCGGAATCAAATAAAGGAACGAAGACTCTAGAGATGATTATCACCCCTAAGACATCAAAGTGACTTCCTATGAAGTCACGAAACTCAAAAAAGAACGAAAACGGAAGCTAGAGTTAAAAATGAACTAAATATGACCCTAGGGGTAAAATGGTCTTTTCACACTGAAATGGATGCTATCGTGTATACCATTGGATAGGCAACGAAAAATTAAAAAGATTAGACTCAAGAATCACTTGATTCGAAGTCCGGACGAAAAAGTTATGGCCGAAACAAAATCGGGTTTTAAAGCTGCCAACATGCAGGATTCAAAGGTTATAGGTGGACGCCAAGCCCTGCGGGCGCCCGCCATCTTTGCATTGTGGGTGGACACCAAATCTCGCGGGCGCCCGCCATCTTTGCATTGCGGGTGGACACCAAATCTAGCGGGCGCCCGCCATCTTTGCATTGCGGGTGGACACCAAATCTCGCGGGCGCCCGCCAAAATGCAAAATTACTGTCCAAGAGAGGAAAATAAAGCTTTGGGAGGTTTTTTAAATGTCTAAATTGAAAGTGCAATGTTTTAATACGTCCACAAGGCCATCGGAAGTCCCGAAATGGTTGGTTCAGTTTTCAAAAAAAGTCGATGAATAATAACCATGCCCTAAAGTTCAAAGAAGGGTTTTTTGCTTTGGAAAATGATGGTTTTTAAGGCCGTAGATGAACTCTTTTGGAAAAAGTTTGTGAAGTGATCCCCCCTAATATTAAGTTTTCTAATCAACCATGATCCAAACCATAATTGACATACAAGAGGAAATGATGAAAATGCCCCAAAGATAATGTAATGTCATAGAAGCTAAAACATAATGAAATTTCTCATACATTCCATTCAACCAAAAGAGATTGGCCCTTGGCCTCATTACATAAATGATGAAGTATAATCAAAATATACCATCCAAGCTTACATTACATACCCAAAAAGAAGCAAGCCATGCTCTTAACAAGTTATACTTCACAACTATAAAAGATAGGCCAAAACATGCTAACACTTGCATGATAAA